TACATTGGTATGAAACAAAACGTGTTTGTGTGCTTATGTACGCACGTAAGAAGTTATACTTCTTTAGCGTAACAAAACAAAAATAACTAAAATAAAACACGTTTTATACATTCATATATATTTGAATAACTACCTCGAATATAGTTATCAGTTCTCAAGAAAACTTAACAATTGACAGACATTTACCAATTTAAGTTGTAAAAAATTCATTCTCATCGTTTTTCTCAAACGCGCCAAAAGAAGTATAACTTCAAAACTTTAGTAAGCACTTAGCACGCTCAGAACATTGTTTAAAACAAGTTGCAAGTTAGCTGCCTGCATATTTAACTCAATGTTTGAATGTGTATCTAACACAAAAAATCTGTAGCAATGTACATTGCGTAAGTGTACATATGCGGTGAAGCCTCGTGAAGCAGCTCAAGCGAAATTTGAGGGATAGCAATACAAAACTAATTTAACAACCAAACAATATTCATTGCTTCATGTGATTGAAAAATTCATTTGCTCGATAACAAAAACCACGCAATGGATGTTGTTAAACTGTCAAATTGATATGGTTTGTCATTTTAGATGTGTTACGCAATTAGATTTCTATAATTATATGAAATAAGAACAAACTCATATTACTAAAAATATCGGTATCAGCTGCCCATATTACTTAGTTACAACCCTATAAAAGGCGGCCATTTTATGCGCCAGATGTGTTCAGGTAGTTACGCTAATTCTGTAGGTATGCCCAGTCCATATACTTCTAAGTCAGTGATTTTCTCTATGAAGATTACTGCCCGTGGTCGGAATATCCGCATGGCGGTCTACTTTTCAACGTTATAGACCCCGTCAAAGAGTATAGTAACACATAGAAGGACCCCTTAAAAGAAGATAAGAGTGTTCAGAACTTAGAGTACAAATAAGCAAGGTATAGAGCGCACGTATCGCTCAATGCCCATTATGCCAAGCGTAACCAGATGTTCTATAGATACTGATACATAGTTGGGAGTGTTTGAATAGTGATGCGCCAAGATTAACGCCTGTGCATTATTGTACTTAAGTTATTAATTGTAAATATTAGGCAAGCGATAATTATAAGGTATGTTTTAGCTCAATTACAATAATAATAATAAATAACTATGAATCATTGGAGCGGCCAATGGTACGTGGAACAGGCCCAGCACCGAATCAGGCGGACACTATCGCATTCTGGCGCGGCCTGTGGTCAGAGCCCGTAAACCACAGCGAGGGCCCTTGGACAGAAGTTGTGGTGAGTCAGTGTGCGAATATTACGCCCATGGACCCCGTCATCATAACGCCGGATGACGTAGTTGAGGCGGTTCGTAGGGCCCCGAAATGGAAAACTCCGGGGCTCGACGGGCTGCAACACTACTGGCTAAAGGGGTTCGTGGTGTGTTACGCTGTGCTCGCCCGACAGTTTCAAGAGGCTCTCGACCAGAAGTCGCTCCCGAGCCTCTTCACTACTGGGATCACTCATTTGGTTCCTAAAGATCAGGACACCACAGACCCGAGCAAATACCGCCCCATCACGTGTCTACCCACGATATACAAGACACTAACATCCATTTTGTGCGCGAGAATCAGTCGTCACCTGAACTCAAATCAGGTGATGTCGCGCACTCAGAATGGATGTAGGGGCGGTGGTCGTGGAACCAAGGAACCACTCCTCATTGACGCGGTCATTGGCAAGGTGGTTAAACGCAACCGTCGGAACCTCTCCGCCGCCTGGATAAACTATAAAAAAGCATTCGACTCGGTGCCTCATGCATGGCTTAAGAGGGTCCTCGAGCTGTACAAGATTGACTTTACAGTTAGAGACTTCCTCGGGCAGTGTATGGGGCAGTGGAGTACGATACTTTTTCATCTAGGCGAGCGGATGACGGCTGCGGAGAACCACATAAAGATAAGAAGGGGTATCTTCCAGGGCGATTGTTTGAGTCCAATCTGGTTCTGCCTCTCTCCGAACCTTCTCAGTACCTTACTGAAGGGCCCCGGGAGGGGATTTCAGCTTCGAAAGGGAGGTACAAAAGTGACCCACCTTTTCTATATGGATGATCTGAAGTTATTCGCCTCCAGTCGCTCTCATTTTATGGAAATGCTAAACATCACTTGTGATTTTAGCAATTCTATTAGAATGGAGCTGGGGACGGATAAGTGTGCGGTCCTCCATGTTGAAAGGGGAAGGGTTGCTAACTCTGAGGGCATAGACTTATCTATGCCCATCAACATAAGAACCCTTTCCGAGGCTGAAACATACCGATACCTGGGTATATCACAGAACATCGGTGTAGATGAGGCGGGTATGAAACAGTCAGTTTGCGATGTGTTTTATGCACGCTTGACCAAAGTGCTTAACAGCCTTTCGTCCGGTGTGAATAAGACGCACGCATATAACGGTTGGATCATGTCTGTTCTCATGTATACCTTTGGCATACTCAGGTGGACTCAGACCGAAATAAACGCTCTGGACAGAAAAGTCCGCACTATAATGACGTCCCACAGAATGCATCATCCGAGATCGCAGTAATGAGGCTGTACTTGCCGCGGAAGCATGGTGGGCGCGGCTTTTTAAGTGTTTTTAAGTGCAGCCTCCGTAATTACTTTCTGTCGAGAGTGGATGATCCATACTATAAAGACGTTATTTCTTGTGATAAAGGACTTACCCCTCTATCCTTAGCCAACGAGCAATGTCAGGACCCGGCAGTACAGAGCAATTCCGAAGCTCAGTTTATATCAGATAAGCCTTAATAGAGTGACTAAAAGCTCTTACATATGAGGAAACTGAGCTTATCTTAATCAGTACCTGCTAAGTAAAACGCGTGCGCACACGCACCCACAAACACACACACACACATACACAGACACACAGACACATACACACACACACACACACACACACACACACACACACACACACACACACATACTTTTTAGCTGTCCACTATCTCTTTTCCAATTCTGAATTTTATTTTTCTCTTATCTTGTAGGGATTGGTCTCAATACTGTAAGGTAGCTTTAAGGGAATCCGCGTGGAAGTTCCAACACAAGTATTTTATAACTTACTGGAGCTACCTCAGTTTATGTAATGCATGACAATGCATTGAGAAACAATAAAACAATTATTATTATTATGTTGTATCTCTAAAGTTTTCTCATTGGGCAATATAAATATATAATTGTAAATAGACATGGTAAACGTACATAAATATCAATTAAATTAAATAAATACATAAAAAATATATAAATATATAAAAAACCAACCAGATGGAAGCCCTCGGCAGGGGAGACCAAACGGCCGAGGGTTAGGAGGAAAGGGAAAGAAACCGGCGGACGATGCGGGTGGTATCGAGGAGCACCGCCTTCTGAATTTGAGTTTGAAGCGGTCCGTCACGGAGTCCCAGTCGCCTCAGATGACCCGAAAGGTTGAATGGAATTAACCCATTCGCAGAGACGACTACAGGTATAATTTCGGCCGGCAGTCCACCCCACATGTCGGTCGCCTCGTGAGGCAGGTATTTTGTCAGGTTATCGGTTTCGCTTTTTACGAGGTTCTCGTCATAAGGAATGGTAATGTCGACCAAAAATATCCTTGACTGTGCCCGGTCCATAAGCACAATATCAAGCTTATTCGCAAGAATAGTCCTGTCTGTGATGATGGCCTGGTCCCAGTAGAGCCTGGCGCGGTCATTTTCGAGTACGGCTTCCGGCAAGTACTTATAATACGGCAGTTTCCGATCCACGAGACCGTATTTCAGAGCGAGCTCCTGGTGTAGAATCCTGGCTACTAAGTTGTGTCTGTGCAAATACTCAGAGTTAGAAAGCGCCGAACAACCGGAGATGACATGCCTAAGTGACTAACCGGGATGGCGACAAGCTCGACAGATGTCGACAGTGCCATCCTTTAGGTTGTATCTCCGATAATTGTTGGTCTTAATAACCTGATCCTGTAACGCACAGACAAAACCCTCGGTTTCCCCAAAGAGGTTTCCCCAAAAAACGTAGCCAGTGGAGGGAGACGACTGTTTCTACGAAAGGCTCGTGTAAAGCCTTGTAGAACCTCCCATGGAGCTCCTTCTCCTTCCATACGGTCTCTCGGTCGAAAATGCTCTGTACTGCCGGGTCCTGCCATTGCTCGTTGGCTAAGGATAGAGGGGTAAGACCTTTATCACAAGAAATAACGTCCCTATAGTATGGATCATCCGCTCTCGTCAGAAAGTAATTACGGAGGCTGCACACTTCGCGATTTTGCATGGTAAGCGCGCTTAAAAAGCCGCGCCCACCATGCTTCCTAGGCAAGTACAGCCTCATTACTACGATCGCGGATGATGCATTCTGTGGGACGTCATTATAGTGCGGACTTTTCTGTCCAGAGCGTTTATTTCGGTCTGAGTCCACCTGAGTATGCCAAAGGTATTCATGAGAACAGACATGATCCAACCGTTATATGCGTGCGTCTTATTCACACCGGACAAAAGGCTGTTAAGCACTTTGGTCAAGCGTGCATAAAACACATCGCAAAGTGACTGTTTCTTACCCGCCTCATCTACACCGATGTTCTGTGATATACCCAGGTATCGGTATGTTTCAGCCTCGGAAAGGGTTCTTATGTTGATGGGCATAGATAAGTCTATGCCCTCAGAGTTAGCAACCCTACCCCTTTCGACATGGAGGACCGCACACTTATCCGTCACCAGCTCCATTCTAATAGAATTGCTAAAATCACAAGTGATGTTTAGCAATTCCATAAAATGAGAGCGACTGGAGGCGAATAACTTCAGATCATCCATATAGAAAAGGTGGGTCACTTTTGTACCTCCCTTTCGAAGCTGAAATCCCCTCCCGGGGCCCTTCAGTAAGGTACTGAGAAGGTTTGGAGAGAGGCAGAACCAGATTGGACTCAAACAATCGCCCTGGAAGATACACCTTCTTATCTTTATGTGGTTCTCCGCAGCCGTCATCCGCTCGCCTAGATGAAAAAGGATCGTAATCCACTACCCCATACACTGCCCGAGGAAGTCTCTAACTGTAAAGTCAATCTTGTACAGCTCGAGGACCCTCTTAAGCCATGCATGAGGCACCGAGTCGAATGCTTTTTTATAGTTTATCCAGGCGGCGGAGAGGTTCCGACGGTTGCGTTTAACCACCTTGCCAATGACCGCATCAATGAGGAGTGGTTCCTTGGTTCCACGACCACCGCCCCTACATCCATTCTGAGTGCGCGACATCACCTGATTTGAGTTCAGGTGACGACTGATTCTCGCGCACAAAATGGATGTTAGTGTCTTGTATATCGTGGGTAGACACGTGATGGGGCGGTATTTGCTCGGGTCTGTGGTGTCCTGATCTTTAGGAACCAAATGAGTGATCCCAGTAGTGAAGAGGCTCGGGAGCGACTTCTGGTCGAGAGCCTCTTGAAACTGTCGGGCGAGCACAGCGTAACACACCACGAACCCCTTTAGCCAGTAGTGTTGCAGCCCGTCGAGCCCCGGAGTTTTCCATTTCGGGGCCCTACGAACCGCCTCAACTACGTCATCCGGCGTTATGAAGACAGGGTCCATGGGTGTAATATTCGCACACTGACTCACCACAACTTCTGTCCAAGGGCCCTCGCTGTGGTTTACGGGCTCCGACCACAGGCCGCGCCAGAATGCGATAGTGTCCGCCTGATTCGGTGCTGGGCCTGTTCCACGTACCATTGGCCGCTCCAATGATTCATAGTTATTTATTATTATTATTGTAATTGAGCTAAAACATACCTTATAATTATCGCTTGTCTAATATTTACAATTAATAACTTAAGTACAATAATGCACAGGCGTTAATCTTGGCGCATCACTATTCAAACACTCCCATCTATGTATCAGTATCTATAGAACATCTGGTTACGCTTGGCATAATGGGCATTGAGCGATACGTGCGCTCTATACCTTGCTTATTTGTACTCTAAGTTCTGAACACTCTTATCTTCTTTTAAGGGGTCCTTCTATGTATTACTATACTCTTTGGCGGGGTCTATAACTTTGAAAAGTAGACCGCCATGCGGATATTCCGACCACGGGCAGTAATCTTCATAGAGAAAATCACTGACTTAGAAGTATATGGACTGGGCATACCTACAGAATTAGCGTGACTACCTGAACACATCTGGCGCATAAAATGGCCGCCTTTTATAGGGTTGTAACTAAGCAATATGGGCAGCTGATACCGATATTTTTAGTAATATGAGTAAAATGACAAATCATATCAATTTGACAGTTTAACAATATCCATTGCGTGGTTTTTGTTATCGAGCAAATGAATTTTTCAATCACATGAAGCAATGAATATTGTTTGGTTGTTAAATTAGTTTTGTATTGCTATCCCTCAAATTTCGCTTGAGCTGCTTCACGAGGCTTCACCGCATATGTACACTTACGCAATGCTTATTGCTACAATTTTTTTGTGTTATATACATAGTCAAACAATGAGTTAAGTATGCAGGCAGCTAACTTGCAACTTGTTTTAAACAATGTTCTGAGCGTGCTAAGTGCTTACTCAAGTTTTGAAGTTATACTTCTTTTGGCGCGTTTGAGAAAAACGATGAGAATGATTTTTTACAACTTAAATTGGTAATTGTCTGTCAATTGTTAAGTTTTCTTGAGAACTGATAACTATATTCGAGGTAGTTATTCAAATATATATGAATGTATAAAACGTGTTTTATTTTAGTTATTTTTGTTTTGTTACGCTAAAGAAGTATAACTTCTTACGTGCGTACATAAGCACACAAACACGTTTTGTTTCATACCAATGTAAACAAAGTTAAGAAGTTATAACGCACACAAAAAAATGAATATTGAGAGAGTAGTGGGATAATGAATATTTTTGCTTGTACACCAAATACTTTTGTTTACTGTACAATAATATTGTACAGTAAATAAATGGAGATGGGATGGAGATCCTTGATTCCATATTGTAATCCCATATTATAGTATTTTTAATATAAAATAATAATGATTAGTTGATTAAAAAATAAATAATCTTTACTTAGCTGGTACTGATTAAGATAAGCTCAGTTTCCTCATATGTAAAAGCTTTTAGCCATTCTATAAAGGCTTGTTTACATGTACGGAGTAACATAGGGTATATATTTAGTTAAAAATTCTATTTACTATATATATATATATTTTTTAGACACCAGTATACCACACAATCAACATATATATGTTGATTGAATTAACATATATATATATATATATATATATATATATATATATATATATATATATATATATATATATATATGTTGATTGTGTGGTATACTGACGTCTGGAAAAAACATGAAAGTACAAACGACACTTTTAACAAAAACACAATTTTTAAAATGCTGTCTGTCTGTCTGTTTTTTCCGGCTAATCTCCGAAATAGCTGGAACGATTTTGACGGGACTTTCACTTGCAGATAGTTAATGGAGTAACTCAAGCTACTTTTATATAAAAAAAGAATTAGGGTCCCTCACAAAAAAAATTAAAACCCTAAATTACACGCGGGCGAAGTCGCGGGGAACAGCTACTTATATATAATTGTTGTTTTGATTGCTTGATCGCAGTTTTACGTACAAGATATTTGAATCTAAAGTCAAAATATTGTTTAATGACATACAGTAGCTTTTAAAAAAATTCTGAACATTTACACGTACTTGTGTATTTGCTAACATAAATAACTGCTGAAGCTAGTTTTTAATCTCTTTAAAATAAGTATATTAATCTTACTTCAAATTCAAGCACAGATATTGCACCTCCAACCATCTTGAGCATTCTACCTTTGCTTTCAAAAATGTACGAAGCACTTAAGACTGCTCGCAAAGTGGCGCTCATGCGAAAACAATGGTAAAGGCAGGTTCGGCTCTTCGATGCATCGAACAAAAACATCAATGCTTACTCGATGTTGATGAATTAGAAAAACATGGAATTGATTCGATGAATCGATACTTCACATTGAGTGTTTTAATACATCGATGTGTATCGTTCATCATTATCTCGTTTAGTTCAATCCATTTCCTTTAGTGCGCGAGTGCAAGAGGCCACCAAAAGAAAGTTTGCTGTGAGTTTTTTTTATTAGAACGTAAGTAACTACACTGTTTTTAAAAGTTATTTGCTTGTACTTCTTCTAGGAACAATTTTTATTCAATTTATAAATATGTCATTTCAAATAATGTATAGTTTACGTGTGAAATAAAGTAGTCAGAAATAACAGAAAATGAAACATAAAGTGTGAGTTATTACTATCAAATATGTAAAAACACAAATTTTCATATACTAAGTCCAATGAGTGAATTTACGTTTTATGTCATAATTTAAATATATCGTAAATATTACGGCAAAGTTGTTTTCAACAAAAATGGCGTTGGTAAAAGATAGCGTAGTAAATTATATACGTATAATTGATTTTTTTATTTAGTAAATATACATATGTATTTCGATATCGATATAATCATACCATATACTTCGTTTCTTTATGAAATTTCGAGTGTTTCTATGTCCTTCTTTCTTTCTACATATTAATTATTTGTGTGTAGTAATTTAGTATTTCATAATTTTTATATTATATAAATTTATGAACTTTTTCCATAAACTCTTTTCGAGCCCCATGAAGACAGAAAATGTTCACGTGTGTGTACTTACAATTTCGGAAAAATGGAGGAATTTGACGAATTATGCCAAGACTCGGTCGGTGAATACCGGATATCAGCGACGGAGGGGAAAAAACATTTTCATATAATGTTGTTGTCGTGATATATCGATATTTATTTTAGAGTATTTAATTCGTATCACTTTCGATTTATTTTAAAATGCTGTATTAATAAGCGAAATATTAAGCAACAAAAGCAGCTATAAAAGCCTTTATGTGCGGTTGTCGATTTTTTTTCGTTATCCAACCATTCATAATAAAACTTTATAATTCACAGTTTTTAGTGTTAGTAACATTTTTCCCCAAGTCTAGTCGCCTATTACGAGACCCACAGGATGGTATGGATATTCATACACCGCCACTATACGGTAATTGTTAACTTCTCAAAAAAAGTTAGCGAGAACGTCTTGCAATCGTCGTTTCTCATTTGACCTTCATACAAATAATTCGATATTTTAATTGTTGATAATATTTTATTTTTGGATAAGAACATAGTAATGGCTCTAAGTTATATTTCATCATTATTTTAAAAACATTGTCTTTAGCCTAACCTACTTATACTCTTTGGCTTGACCACAGGTCTAGCAAAGTTGATCCAATAAAATGTCGACGACTCAGTAGTTAAATTATTTTTAGTAAGAAACAAATGAAATAATTAGCACTTAAAAATTTGTGGACAGTTATACTAAAACGTTTAATAATTACGTTACGAACTTGGTGCTGGAATATTTTGAAGTAATAATTAGACGAATGAAAAACAACGGACCATCTTCACTAAAATTAACATAGATGTTTTTTTCTAGTTTCTGTTAGATTATTTAATAAATTACGGTGCATCAGACTTGGCAAATTTATGTAAGAGTGAAAACATATACAACTAACATCTTTTAAGAAATTAGAAAAAAAGAAAGATAAGACTTACAACAGAATTTTTTAATAATTTTAAAAACAATTGGGACAGTTTGGATTAGAAAAAACTAATTGTTCTGAAAGAACTGTAATCGTACTGTGAAGTACAATTTTTTTTTAATTAATATGGATATCAATTTCTGTAGATTTCAACTCAAAATCCGCAGTTCCCAGGATGATGAAAAAATTCCGTAGATTTACGGAAAAGTCCCTAGAGTTGGCAATGCTGATAGAATTTGCCTAAAGGTCTAGATGTACCAGGCCATAAACTCCAAAAAAAATTGCTTTACCAACCTTTATGGCAAGTGGCAACATTTTAGTGATATGTCAAGTTATTAAGTGACCACTGACCAGTGACCACAGAGTACATTATATAGGAACCAGTGACCATAGATAAGAGCCAGTGACGACCTGTACTCTGTGGTGACGACTGACGAATGACGATAGTGAATAGTGCGGTGAATACGGGGACGGGATTAGAAATAATTATCCATGATTTTAAGAAATATTTTCTTGTGTAATCTAATAAGAAGAATGAAAACAACTCAATAAAAGATTTAAAATTTTTGACAGAAAGTATTTTTGATAATTAAGATAAATAATAAGTGATAAACTATGGAATAATTTGTTAAATTGTAAGATTGCGGTTCGCGCATCTTTATACTGCCTGGGGTCTAAGAAATTTGTTCTTTTTTTTAAAAAAAGAAGTGACAATAAGATGCCTTTCGTTAACATTAAGAAGCAATACTTTATTATTGGAATGTTATTTTTCGTCGTACTATTTTTGTTCAACAGCCGACCTGCATTTCAATGCCAATTTACGCCTGAGGTCATACCTTACATCCCCACGATCTATGGTATCACTCCAACGTACGCAAGACTCGCTCAAAAGGCAGATCTTACAAGGTAAGACCTTTTTGTCGTGTTGTATTTGCCATTGATTACATATACATATTGCTTCATCAATGTTATTGATCTGGCACAATGCATTGGGATTGCAGTCTGCTATTTATAAATAATGGTACTCAATTATGATATATTAAAATTCGTAAGCAACTCAATATGAAACATTTTTTAATAATAATGGTTTGTTAACAAATTTTCTTTGTTATTAAAATAAAATTATGTGTTTATAATCTTTATCCCAGGAAAGGCATTTTTTTTTAGATTCCACTGCAGCTATATAATAATACTGAACATATGACTATATTAATTTTATTTATTTATATTGGGTCTACACACTATGATATAGTATGAAAATAATTGCACTATTATTGCCATGAACATATATTTAAAGATTACTTATTCCTCTCTTTAAATTGAGTATTAAGGTGATTAAAAGAATGTATTGCAATAGGCTCTTAAGGCTATTTGACCTATAGGTAGTCTACAGGGCATTTTATTATATATTAAAAGTAGCTGTTCCCAGCGACTTCACCCGTGTGTAATTTGTGTAATGTAATTTTTTCGTGGTTTTTAATTTTTTACGCGGAACCCTAACACTTTCTAAAATAAAAGTAGCCTAAGTTACTTTTTATACCATCAGCTATCTGCCAGTGAAATTTCGGTCAAAATCTGTCCAGCCATTTCGGAGATTAGCCGGAACAAACAGACAGAAAGACAGACAGTAAATATTTTAAAAATCGTGTTTTTCTTATAAGTACCATATATACTTTCATATGCATATAGTAAAAAGCTGTTATTTCAACATTAGAAACAGACACTTCAATTTTATTTATTTGTATAGATTATGTATACAAATAAATCAAATTGAAGTGCTTATTTGTAATGTCAAAATAACAGCTTTTAACTAAAAGCATATGAAAGTATATACAATACTTATAACAAAACACAAATTTTAAAATTTTTGTCTGTCTGCCTGTTCCATATCTATAATACCTAATCTCTGAAACGTCTGAACTGATTTTGACGGAACTTTCACTGGCAGATAGCTAATGTTATAAGGAGTAACTTAGGCTACTTTTATTTTAGAAAAGGAATTAGGGTTCCGTGCAAAAAAATTAAAATGCTAAAAATCCAATTGTAATAAACTTCACGTAGGCGAAGTCGCAGGGAACAGCTAGTTATAAGATAGAACCATGAAGTATTACATTGACAATATATATTCATGCACATGTCATTTGGCCTTTATTAGTTTATATGGCCATTCCTGTTTGTTATCATGATTAAAACTTCCTCAGAGATTTTTTTACATGATGAAGCAGAAACAGAAACTTTTTTATTCAATATAGATTATAAATAATACTTATTGAAAGTCACTCTTTTGTTTGATTACCACTACAAGCAGTACAACCTGTCAAAGTTAACTTGAGACTTGAGAGGAATATGCTTTTTCTCCTACACTGTTAACTACACTTGTAGTCAATGCATTAGTACTGACAACTAATTCAGAAGCAATCTCACATGTCTAGTTTGAATTTGCTTTTTATCATTATTTTTAGGTGATTACTGTATATTTGGAGCTTTTATAGTTTGTCCTATAATGAAAACCAATAAAAATCTGGAAGCTGGCCAATGTGCAGCCTGTTCCAAAAAAAGGCAGCCATGCCGACCCTGCCAATTATCGGCCAATCTCAATTACCTCCATACTCTGCAAGATTATGGAGCGTATATTGAATACCCGCTTAATGGCATACCTAGAACAGAATGACCTCCTTAGTGACTGGCAATATGGGTTTCGCCGAAATCGGTCAGCTGGGGACCTTCTAGCGTATGCCACATAGGTATGGGGCTAGGCACTTGAGAATAGTGGGGAAGGACTTGCTGTTTCCCTTGATGTCTCGAAGGCCTTTGATAGAGTTTGGCACACTAGCCTTTTGGGTAAGCTTCCAGCGTATGGCTTATCCCCTAGTCTGATTGAATGGGTAAAGGACTTTCTGAGTAAACAGTCTCTCCGGGCCGTCGTTGGCTGCTCATCCAATCCTATGGCGACTAACGCCGGTGTTCCTCAGGGGTCCGTTTTCTCCGCAACTCTCTTCCTGCTGCATATTAATGATCTGCTTATGCCTGGTACCTATGGGTATGCAGACGATAGCACAGTTGTTGAGAGATACCAACCAAGTAATCGCGCCAGTCAGGTTCAAATCCAGTCCAAAAGAGAAGCTATGGTAGAGCGTGTGAATCTCACACTACAGGCAGTCTCCGAATGGTGCGATGCCAATCTTGTGAAGGTCAACGCCTCCAAAACACAAGCGTGTCTCTTCACTGCAAAAAGAAGCCAGCTCACCTTGGCTCCTTCTTTCCGAAATGTATCACTGAAATATACCGACCACCTTCAGTTGTTAGGGCTTGAAATATCCTAAAATTTGAACTTCAGGCGGTTCATTGAGTCCAAGGTCAAATTAGCTGCAAGGAAGCTGGGAGTCCTTGCAAAGGTGCGGCGATACTTCACGCCGGGACATATGCTAACTTTATATAAAGTGCAAGTCCGTTCATGCATGGTGTATTGCTGCCATATATGGGCTGGTGCTTCAAAGTGCCACCTAGCAGCTTTGGACTCAATGGAAAGGCGTGCTAAGAGGCTAATTGGTGACCCGAATTTGGTTAAAACCAATCTTACCAGCCTCGGACACAGACGTAAAGTAGCCAGCCTTTTGGTTTTCCACAGGATGCATTTCGGAGAGTGTGTGCAGGAATTGCATAATTTAATTCCTCCCTCTCCCTTCCACCATCGGATAACCAGACGTTTGGCCAGTCTCCACCCTTTTGATGTTGACATACCACGCATTTGAACCAAACGGTTCGACACGTCGTTCATCATGCGTACAGCAAAGGAGTGGAATAAGTTGCCAGCATATGTCTTTCCATCCGATTACAGTGTGGGTGTCTTCAAGGCAAGAGTGTAACGTAAAATTTAATGTAGATTTTTCTATTTTATTTAGCAGTTAGTCACTCAATAAATGAATTGTTACTCAATAATATTTCACAAACACTAATTTTTTGCAGTTAGTATGTCACACTTATGCTATCTGAGTGAAATCCTAAGATAGTTTTACTGGCTAGTTTTACTCATTTATTCGTTCGTGTTTACGAGCCTTTTTTTTTTTAAATTATTCACAAAACATTTGTTCTAAGTTCTTTTATATTGATGCTACCTTGTTTAATAATGTAGCGACCCACTACTTACATTTTGCTATAAAATATGAAGGCACAGGCTCCTATAATGTATATCCATTTCATTCTTAATTTGACCAGTTGTTCTACATTCCCTCACAGGTGTAGCAGATTCAAAAATAAAACTTCAAAAATTACTTGAAAATTAATTAAGTAAATCTAATTGTTGTTTTACATAACATCTTAAATAAAGTAAAGTTACCTACGTATAAACCTGTATTTCCGGTGTATGTTCTAATAGATTACACTAACAAATATTTTTTTGTTATTTTGTATAAAATGAATAACATACCAACTTATTAGGTTTAATTTCGAGATTTTTAAGAAAAGTCTATTACCTATTTTTTATTACCACCCTTATTTATAAATTATGTCAGGAACATTTCAGTCCTTTTTTACACTTATACATGTATATTTAAGATCCAATAAACACTTAACAATTTTTATAATATTTTTTGTCTGTTGCTTTCATTCAAATGTTTTAATGACTGTATTTATTTTTAAACAGACTATCACAAACTCTGATGTTGGTGAAGAACTTTCATTGGATTATCATAGAGGACTCGGAGACGAAAACGAAATTAGTTGAAAACCTTCTCAAAGAATCTATGCTCAAATATACACATCTTAATGTTAAAACACATAAGTCAAAACATTCAACGGTATGTGCATATCATAACTTAATAAATTAATGTGTTGGTATAGTTATGGAATATTACTTTTTTGGAAGATTCTTATATTTAATTAGGTGGTAATTATTTTAAGTTATGACTTATGAAATTTCTAAAAAAATATGTGTTCTCCTGTTAATAGATTTAGAAAAAAGTATCCTTTACATAAACTTCCACTTACATAAATAAATTCTTAGTTATATCTATTTATTGTCTCTTTCCATTGGTATTTAGTTAGAAGAGATAGAGCATCTTTAAGTATTTCTTGAATTTATTTTATGAATGTTAAAATAGTTATGTGAATATTGGAGTAAATTTTTATCCATTGTAATATTTCAGAAAACAGATATCTTAATGTCTAATACATCAATATACAAGACCAGTTTATACTATGTATGTTGGCATATTTACATATTCTGAATCTTTTTTTATTTAATTCAGTTTTATTAAACTGCCTACTAAATGTGGAGTTAATTTGACCTTCTAACTCTGATCTAATTTTCTAATTTTCAGTCTTGCATATAGTGTTCTAGATTGCTAAATATTCAAAGTAATCAGTAATTTGTTTAAGTTCAGCTTAAGATGTTGTCTTAAAACTGTTTTACATGTGTGTGAGATATTTTAGCAAAGTATAATGAAGATTTTAATTTAACACTTCTAAATTTCTCTTTTTTCCAAAAGGAATTTGTTAAATATCTAATTTTCTAACCTGTTTGTTATACAAGAATATTTTATATATTTTCTAAATCATTCTGATTCTAATTCTAACACTTACTAAATTTATTAAATCTTTAACTACCCATAACTTGTGAAGGAATTGTTGTTGTTGTATAATATTTTTTACTTAATACTTTTATAGTACCTCATTATTAACTTATTATGCTTGAAGCACTAAGCAACATGCTCCATTACAAGCTGCATATACAGTGTATGCAGCTTGTAATGGAGTGTATAAAAATTTTTTGAACTTTATATTACAGGCAAGTGGAGTTGAACAAAGAAATGTTGCTTTGAACTGGCTCCGTGAGCATCTTATGAAGATTCAAGATAAGAGAGGTATTGTGTATTTTATGGATGACGACAATACATATTCCCTAAAAGTTTTTGATGAGGTAAGTTTCTAGGCATTTATTATTATTTACGCATAATACACAGCTTATTTTGTTTTGTGTTATAATTTTTAATACTGAGAAAGCTTAATGTATTTATATTACTTACTTCTATAGAGAAAATTACTTAACAATCTATGTTCCTGTGCCTCATGGCCTGTAAAAAAATCATTTTTTATCCAAGCATTGTTACAAATATAAAGCAAAGCAAACTGTGTTTTGATACAAATAAATTGTGTAATATATCACTAAACAAAAACTTACTTTCTTTTTTATTTTCACGCAAGAAAAATGAATAAAAAATATAGTTTTCAAGACTAAGGATATCCTTGATACAATATTTGCATATCCTTGATACATAATCACGCATGTATTATATAACTGAGCCTAAAGATCTAAAGCAATATAAATCAATGAAAATACAACCGTTTTTCGTTATAAATTATTTTATTTTAGCACTCTCGATTGCTATTGTACCAGATAGTAGTGTGAATTATTTTATTAGAATTAATGAATCAATTCTTTATTTGCAGTTCGAAAGGTAAGATTTACAGTTTATATTTAAGATATTTATTGACATCCTATATAGGATTACAACTCTCTCTTCAATTTTCGCATGGGTGGATGCAGATACAGAATAGTATTTTCTAAGTTTAATCATTTATAATTAAAAAAGTTCCTTGAGATTTGAGTGAAGCATATTCAGCCTCATGCCAGGAAGTGATGTGTTGCCCCCCCCCCCCCCCCCCCTCCCCCAGTATATGGAGTGGTGTCCTATTTGGTAAGACATGTAGGAAGTCAATGGATACAGGTAGCTCAAGACCATGCTTTGTGACATTCCTTGACCTAAGTTCAACAGTGGACTTGTATGGCTGTAATGATGATAATGACATTGATATTAGCCATATAAATTTATAAGTCAGACCAAAATTATGTAGACTTTAATAAAGTAACCGCTATTTCGATTCGTGATTTTGAAGTATAAAACCACATGAAAACTTCTACTCTAAAAAATAAATAAAAGGCGTGATAAGTGATAAATGCAGAAAATAGTGATAAAAAATATATTTTTCGTACACATTTACATATGGAGTTATTTAAAGAATTAAAATAATATTTTTTATAATTATACCATTACAGATGCGAAAAATTAATAAAGTAGGTGTGTGGCCGGTTGGTATTGTGGGAGGGATGAGAGTGGAAATGCCTCTCGTCACGGACGGCAAGGTGTCTGGTTTCAATGCAGTGTGGAAGCCATACCGACCGTTCCCCATTGATATGGCTGGCTTTGCTATAAACGCTACACTGTTTATAGATCACCCAGAAGCCAAATTCTCTAGAAAAGTGCAGTCCGGGTTTCAGGTGTGTTTTCATATCAAATATAATATATTTTATTATAATATAGCTCGCAAAATTCACAACTGATAAGGAAGAAAGGAAGAAAACTTGAGTGGCAGCTTCGTATCGAAAAGCGAAGTGTAGAGCGGCTCCCCACTTGATGGAGTGACCTTGTATGAGATGCAGTTATTTTTTATTTCTTTTATCAAACAATATATAAATAAACTAGCGACGATCCGCGTCGGCTTCTCACGGGTGATTTCTGGATTTCGACAACAGCGTCACTTACCGGGTCCAAATGTGAATCTAAACCATTTAGGGAACCTATTCAAACACATAAATAATTTCATCAAAGTCGGTCGAGCTGTTTTTAAGTTATAGCGAGCCTAACGACAGCAATTGATTTTTACATATAGAGATATATCGCGAATGGATTGCCTGTTGAAATATATATTATGTTCATGGCTAGCAAACATTTGTATATGCAGGTGTGTTGGTAGCTGCAATTTGTCTTTTCTAATTGTTACCTATTAGGAAGACGCTGCTGCCCATCTCCTGGTTTGTTTCCCTTTGTCGCCTCTTATGACACCAACGAGACTATAGGTGGTAGTAGATTCATACACCGCCATTCCACGGACTTAAAATAAAATTATATAAATATTTTTGATATTGATTAAAAAGAGAATGATATTTTCTTTATTAGAATTTATCATCAATATACATTACATTAAAAATTAAGTTATTAGTTTTGCATCCTCATAATTTAAAAATGTAGTTTGTTCATAATTAAACGTAATATCACTTTAATAAGTTACGCATATTATCTGTGACTTTATGCCTTTTGTATATTAAATAATCTACATATTATATTTTTATTAACAATGGTTCACGATAAAGCATTTGCTTATTATAGTGTTCATTGAATCGTATCTAATAATAGCAGTGATATCTAAAAAAACGTATAAAGCTGATAAGTTGCTTTAAATATGTTAAATGAGATTTCGAAGCAAATCTCGCTATTGTAAATAATAATACGATTTAAAGTACATATTTCGTGGTAATATAACCGACTAGTTTACGTCAGACTTGAAATATTTCGTAATTCAATGAGTCGGCTCAATCGGGGACCTCTCACCGACCTTTCACAAAATACCAGCTTAACGCTGCTGTGTCTCGTATGGTGAGTGTAGAGAACCGAAAACCTTTTTTACTGGAAACGAGGCATTCCATCTTAGTCCTCACGGGTGACAACGCATCTGCATTTTAATTCGTAATCGAGGATAGATGTAGATGTCTATGGGCCACAGCAACCACTTGCCACAGCACTTGGTGGACTGTGTGGTTCTCCCATTTCTTATATCTGGTGTGTCAGTTATATCAGATATCAACTGTTGGTATAAATATTCGGATTGATAGTGCGAATGTCAGCTGAGGGCATGTGAAATTAGGTCTTTTCAACCATGTTGATAACATTTGAACGATGAACGAAGTGTGGAGGTCGGAGGGCAAATACGATAACATTTTTCTTATTATCTAACTTTCACTACAGTTTTAAATTAACTGTTTATCACTGATTTCCTGTACGTCTCGTCAGCTTTTTTTGTCTAGTCATGATTATTTAAACATTTATTAATTTGAAATAATATTATGATACTTATTGCGTTTATTTATATGGATAATACACATTGAAGAAAATTATTTTTACATTCAACTAACACCTTACCTCGTTCATTTGGTTTTTCCATTCCCCAGAGGGTAATGATGCGCGTTGGAGTCCGTCCCGATCACAACCTCTAGTCCAGTCCTCTCGTAGAGATTCAGCAGCCTGACGAGTTCATGAGGGGGAAGTGTCTTCTTTTCGGTTGCTGTTCGAGTCGCACTTTTTTGTGCTCGCCTCTTGGCGAGGTGGTCTCTTCTAGCATCATATGCGACCATAATGCGACTGATATTGAAGCTATATTTGTTTTGCAAAAGAGAGCCGTACGGGCGATTTATAATCTAAATTGTAAAGAGTCCCTCAGAGAAAAATTTAAAGAAATAAACATATTAACTTTGGCATCGCAATATATTTATGAAAATGTAATGTATGTACATAAAACATAAATAGCTTTAATAAGAATAAGGATGTTCATACCTTAAACACTAGGAACAAACATAAGCTTGTAATGCCACTTACTAGACTCCACAGAATTAGTAATTCATTTATGGGGCAATGTATACGCTTTTACAACAAAATCCCAGAACATGTTCAAAGTTTGTCAATAAACAAGTTTAAAAGTTTTATTAAATAAAAACTGTACAAAAAGGGTTATTATAATATCAAGGAATACATGAATGAAAATAACCCCTGGGAATAAGGTGATCGCCACCATGCTGGTTCTATGAAAATTCATTTAAAATTGTATAAACAAAATTATTGTTAAGTGAAATTATGTTTAAAAAAAAGTCCCGCTGCGTTTCTTGCTGGTTCTTCCCAGGACAGAGGTATTTTCCGAACCAGTGGTAAATAAAATAATGACTTTCAATAAGTATTATGTAATAATCCATTTGAATAAAAATCATTCTATTCTATTCTATTCTATTCATCCTTTTGGCTGCTCTTTCCTTCTTACCAGGATGCTTGGTCGCTTGCTGCTTTCTGGCGGATATCTTAGAACTGGCCCCTGCGGCCGCACCTTCCACTTGGGCTAGATTTTATCCATCCCAATTTCAGCGCGGCTACTGGTTCCAGCCCCAAACACCGCAGCCACAGTAGCTTGCCCAGCCTCCTTGGTGTTGCTCTTAGAAGCAGCTATCGCGGCCCTTTCTTTACGGTCTTTTTCTCGCTGCTTCTTATTCTTTTTCTTGGCCTTTACACCACTGCCTGCTGGGATAGACCCACCTGATGGTACGTCAGGACCACAAGTCACCTTTTTGGGTGCCTTGCCCTTCCCCTTACGGATCACAACTTGCAGAAGTCAGAGAAAATATCGTCCGTTCTTTGGGGCTCGCGGTCCCTTGCTCCTTTCTCGCGTTCAACTCCTCAGGTTTGTAACTAGTTTTAGAAACACCCAACGCGGAAATTGCCCTCTTAGAGGGACGCCCTACGCTGGATGGTGCAGTCCGTGGAACCATCGGTTTAATAGTGGTCCCTCCTTGTTCATTGGTGTCTCAGGTAAAGCACCTCTGACACCCCTCCCTCTTTCCTAATGGGCCTTAAATTGTCCATATTTTTTATGTGTTTAAAATTCTACCCCCCGGCTTCCCACCCGCCATGGAGCCCGCAACTTTGGTAACGCCCTACTTTAAAACAAAAATAATTTCAGGCGTTAGTATTACCGGGAGAATATAGGGACGCGAAGCTGGCTCACAGCGCGACATTCCGAGCTCGATTCAGATGGCCGATAAAGTTGAAAAGGCCCATGCCCACTGCCCGAATAGACTCACTTACTCCGTCAGCATGGCCTTTACCACCACCTAGCTCTTTTTAGGGAAACTAGGCAGCCCCCACGTCTCTCGCCTGCGACCCTTTGACGGGGCGCTTGGCCATTTCCCTATCTGAAGCTAACAGATAGGGCCAACGTTTAGCTTGCAATCGGGACCAAAGAGGGCGTGTTGCCTCTCGCCACTTTATTCCCCAGTGACGATCGGCTCAATCCTCCAGGACTCTCAGCGCTCGCCTGCACAGGTCCAGGCAGAGTTCACAATGCAGGTTGTAAAATTATTAGTTTTGTAGTTAAAGTATGTGGTAAAGCCAGGCTACAGCTTTATTACTGGTATAGTTGTAGAACGAATGGGTCGGCTCAACTGGGGAAGGACCACGCTCTCACAGAATACCACCTTAAAATAGCAGCTTAATGCTGCTGTATTTCATATTTTGAGTGTAGAGAACCGGAGAGCCTTCTTACTGGCAACGATGCATTCCATCCAGTCCTCACGGTTGACAACGCATTTTGCATTTCGATTCATAATGGAAGTTAGATGTATATGTCTATGGGCCACAGCTAACCACTTACCATCAGGTGGACTGTGTGCTCGTTTGTCACCCCCATCCTATAAAAAAGTCACCTATTTATTATTCGACTAAAATGAAACCCAAAGCAACACGTCATAACGTCGAATTTTGACAAATGATATCAAATGATATCGAATGATATCAAATGACAAACAATTTTCATAATTTCGCGTAATACAGATAAGACGTTACAGCACACAGCACACTATTTTGGATTCAGCATTGATACCCACTTTCTAACCGCCATCTATTGGAGAAAATAACATGTGTCTACTATTTCCAATATTTGTCTTTTACGACATCCACGGGACGTTATAGTTAAAACAGTTTATCCTGACTCTTATTTCACCGTTAAACGATATTTGACTAATAATAATTTTTTTCTTTTCAGGAAAGTGAAATACTCAAATATGTCATAACAAAAAAAGAATTGGAGCCCCTAGCGGAGAACTGCACTAAAGTGTACGTGTGGCATACACGCACGCAAACGCCGTCAATACACAACCCAAAGAAGTTAAAGCATCCTCCTATACCCGACGGCCATATTGAAGTGTGATTTTAAGAAAGTAATTTACCGTTGGTATTATTATCGAGGACCCCAAGGTTTTCCTGTTAGGAATAATTTAAGATATATGCTAGCAAAAGCTGGACAGGGTGATTTTGCAGAAATACTGTCTCAAATATCTTGTGGCTCTTATTAACTATAATATATGTTGTAAAGTTACAGCCTTTATACGTCCCACTCCTGGGCGCAGGCCTCCTCTCATTTCTGGGTGGGTTATATGGATATATTATGTAGTGTTCCTGTGTACTCATAATTCTATACTCGTGTTTGACATATATACTTAAAAACGGTTTGAAAATCTCATTGAGCTTAGCGTCGCTGTGTTTTAATTTCAAAACACTGACTTAATTCTATTTGTAGTTTTTTATACTCGTTAGTGACGAAAATTATCATTCCTCAACACCAAATTCTGACAAGAGTGGAATTCGAATTTCGAACGTGTTTTGAAGTGAAATGTAAACTCGGAATAGCCGAGTTCAGTGGATATACCATATTTTTTATTTTAATCATGCAATTATAAAAAATAAATCACAAGATTGCATAATTAGTAGACGTAATGAGATTTTTTTATATCAGTATTATAAGAATCCTTTTTTGAAGCAATTGCTTATTTTACATATCACTTATTTGGCTCTTTAGAGAAAGCGGTTTTTATTGGTTTTACTTAATAATATTTCTTTTTGTGTATATTTGTGTATATTATTTTAAGTTTAGATTTTATACTTTAGTAATAAACATTAAGATATTTTTTAAATAGTAATTTAAATGTAATCTAGTAACAAAGTTTAGGTGATATTATAAGAATTTACTATTAGTTTGTGTTAAAATGATGTATGATATTACTTAATTTACATACCTTAGAAATTTAGTAACCACATTTTTATGTTAACCTTGTAAATGTTCTATCTGTAAAACAAAAAATCACTGACATGTGAGAGCATATGACATGAAAATATGTGTTACTTTATTATACCTTATGTCATATAATTCTCTGACATTAAACTTTGTCATAAATTAAAAAAAAATACTCATGACATTATAGCTAAACGAATTAAAACAAGCTTTCTAAAAATAAAGATGTTTAGGTTTGTAATTTGGCTGTAACAACTTTTCACTTGCGTAATGGTAGAATGAAAACGATTCCATAATATATATTATATTATGTCTTCTTACATTTTTATTGATTATGTTACAAACCATTGCGATCTGATTATATTGTAGGAGTTAACAAACAATGTCAAAAAACGTCTTTCCATTTCTTAAGTTTATTGTTTTCTTTATCGTGTTACACTGAGCAATTTTCCGAAAAATTTAAAAAAAGTCCAGAAAGATATGGAACATTTTTTGATAATTTTTGGAAAATTTTCATAAACCTATGTGAATTTTTCTTAATCTTTAGCAAACCATTGCGATCTGATAATATTTAAGGAATTAACAAATAATGTCCGAAAACTTCTTTACGATTCTTAAGTATATTTTTTTCTGTATCGCCTTACACTTAGCAATTTTTCGAAAAATATGAATCCAGAAAATTTTCGTAAACCTACGTGAATTTTCCTTAATTTTTCGAAAAATTACCCAACCTGCTGCTTACCAACAATAAGAAGTGGAACATCAATTTAGATTGTATAACTTTTTCGGAGGTTTAGTGATATTGTCTTTCTGACTTTTGAGACATTTATGAGCAATGGTGACATAAACATCTTTTGGTGGACAAACGCGTGGATATTGTGTCCGTCACAAATAACATGTTTGGTAGGTTTTTATTTAGGCCGCACTTGTTGTTAGAAAAAGTTTTTAATATTTCTACCAGAAATATGGTTGCGGTTTAAAGGTCGTTTGTTCGCCTACTTACTTTATTATTAGGTATGTAACACGGCTTGAGAGGGATATTATTCATTTGTTTATTTTGAAGATGTACTTAAAATGGACAAGTGAAAGGGCATTGTGCATTATTTATTTACAAACATAGTATTATGTATAATTCTATTTATTTTAATATTGTTATGTGGTGAGTACATTTACCAAAAACGTAACTTTCCTATTGTCTTACGTGATATTTTAAGAGGCATATAAAAACAGTAATATTGACAACCAAAAGTACATAAAATATTGTATATATACATGAGAACCAAAGTGCAACAATTCAAAGTTATATATTATTTGCCGATGCAATTTATAACAATTAGGGTGAATTCGACCAAATACTATGTTATACCAGAATAACTAAACCGAATGATTTTACTCTTTAATTTTACTTTCAGATAACTTCGTAATACAATTGTTTATATAGCACAACACAAGATTTTGCTTGTCCACATAATTTGCCGGATTATAATAGTTGTCAACTGTGAACATTGAATTAATATTCATACGAGTTGTCAGTTGAGTTGACTAAGATTATCTTTGCGAATTGTTGTTTCATGTTGTGGTAATTGTAAATAAATAAAATGCCTGAACAAAGAAGGAAACGTAGCCCAAATTGGATTGGTATCTTCTGAGATATTCTTCTTGTTGAAATGGAAAAACATTTCGTATCAAAGAAAAAATATTTAAAAAATCCCCAAAATTATAAAAAACAACTATAAACAAACAACTGTAAAATATTAACACCTACAATTTCAACGAAGCATACGAACCTAACTGGTTTACCTATAAATTTTAGGGTTATAGCGATTTACTCTCGGATGGACAGTTATACCTGGATTAAGATTTGGTAAAACGAAAGTTCTCTAACTCTAGAGTAATTGGTGATTTTATTCGCAGGATAAGACTTAGTCCGCCCTGATTCTTCTAACTATGGTAATAATGATATTAAACTGGTCTTAGTCTTAGTTTAGTACTGTTCCTGTTCTAAGGTATTCTAATATGTTTCACTTATTATGACAAGGGTAATATGCGATATATATTTTTTATATTAAATTGTCTAAGATGGAAAGTGTAAGTTGGAATGAAGTACGAGGGGAGGTCAAAAAGTTCGCAGACTGAAAGGGAATGAAAAGGGGTGAAATTTTCCTTTTAAACCTTACCTTAAAAAATACACTTCTCAGATGGTTCAAATAACTTATTTATAGCTTCGAAAAAAAAAATGTATTGTCAAGGCTCTCAAAATAGGTAGAAATTGCCAACTTCACTTCTTCGTCTTCTGTAAATTTCTATTCCCAAAGCTCTTTTTTCGTATTTGGAACATATAATAATCCGAAGAGACCAAATCTGGACTACAGGGAGTGTGGTTAAAGTTGCGAAGCCGCACTTGTGTAAGGAAGCCATCACATGGACAACATGACTTGAGAACGGGTGCGTTGTCATGCAAAAGGAGCTCTCGAGACCACTTTCACCTTCTTTTTTCTTTAATCGCACCTTTTAATTTTTGTATCAGTGTAGCGTAATACGGTCCCGTGATATTGACACATATCTTTATAATCGATCAATAAAATGTCCTCTGAATCTCAAAAAACTGAAACCATAATCTTTTCAGCCGATTGTGATACCTTGAACTTCTTAGGTGGTACTGCGCCTTTTTTATGCCTTCAACCCCAAACGTAGTGGACAATCAGATTAGACTATTTGATTTTTGTACCGCCTTTTTACCACAAGTACAGTTCAACAGAAAATATATTCATAGTTTATATATATTATTTATTAATATTTAAAAACCACAAACTTAAACAAAAATCATATTACGTGTTGCATTACCCGCCGCTGTTTCTGAAGCGGTGTGACAATTCTTCTTTGACCATAGATATGCCAAGATAGTCATAGAGAATGTTTAAGAGTCGTAGATGATACTCTTAGTCATTTCTCCTCTCTAGTCCCTTCATTCCGCGAACTTTTTGACCCGCCCTCGTATTATGGAGTGTAGAGTAGAAGGAGGACCATCTCTGTATATGAAAAGTGTCCGTAAAAATGTGTCCAATAAGGGTGGCGCTGCAGTAGCATAGGATAAATTAAAAAAGAAGCGCGAAAAGTATTTAGAGTAAGATGGAGAAATAAATAAATAATTTTTTCTGTGTGGGTAGTTGTGAATGCAACACGTAAAATTGTTATCTCTCAAGTTATTATTAAAATTAATACATAATTCGTAAAATATTATATATCAAGTGCTAGTAATGAAAAGTTAGCTTAAACTACCTGTCTGTGAGTGTTTACTACTTAATCCAACCACTATTACAACACTTTTTTTACTTTTATAACCTCTCTCAGTTCGTCACTATACCATGGACTCGACAATTAAAAACACTCTGTCCAGTTTGATGGAGGTGTTTCATAACAGGATGGATGTTTTTGAGGAAGAATTGCGGAAAACGCCCAGCACATCTACCAGTACTACCTCTCTGGCAGCTGAGTTTGCATCTTTCAAGACGTTTGTAGTGCAGGCACTAAACAGTCTTCAGCAGCAGATGGAGTTACTTGCTCGTAATGCTGATAGCATGGAGATGCGAAGCCGAAGGAAAATGTTACTGCTTCATGGTGTTCCAGAGATTGCAAAAGAAAACACCGATTTGGCTGTCATCAAGGTTCTGCAAAATCAGTTGAAATTAGCTAACGTCTCTGTCAGTGATATTAAGCGTTGTCACAGATTGGGTAGACCAACAGCTCCTCACAAGTCTCGACCCATTTTAGTGAAATTCTTAGATGTAGGGTTGCGTGATAAAGTCTGGTACGGAAAATCCCAACTTAAAGGCTCCGGAGTCACAGTATCCGAATTTCTCACCAAGCTTCGGCATGATATTTTTGTAGCTGCCCGTGAAAAATTTGGTATTTCCAAATGCTGGACTAAAGATGGATCTGTGTACGTTGCAAAACCTGATGGAACCAGACATCGTATAACCAGTCTGAATGACATCAGCAAAATTGAGTGCCAGACAAGCCCAAAACCAGTATCGAAAACTGCAGCTGGGAAGCCCAAGCGAAACGCCGCCGTGAAGAAGTGTTAAGTGTACAGGATTTGCCATACCTAAATATTGTCATTTTTTTTTTTTCTCTCTTAA